TCATCGTGAGAATCGGTGAAACCAAATCGAAGGAATACGATTTAGATCTTGGAACACCGCAGGGAAGTGTCATGGGTCCCTTGATCTTCCTTACCTATGTCAATGACTTGCCTCATAACATAAAGGACGGTAGAGTTTTCATGTATGCTGATGACACCTCTATTGTGGTGTCTAACACTGATCGCCAAAGACTACAGCAAAAAACTGACACAGTTTTGAAAGATTTTGCGGATTGCTGTATGCAGAATACACTAATAATGAATCAAAGTAAGACAGTGATAATTGAGTTTCACACAAAACATGGAATACCTTCTAATTTCACCTTCGAAGTCAATAATAATATCGTTGAAACCTCCACTTCATCTAAATTCTTAGGAACGCTCATAGATCGTAACCTAACATTGGAAGATCAAATACAAATAGTATGTAAACAAATTAACAAAAGCTTTTATATTTTGGCAACACTAAGAAATATTTTGAACACAGATTCATTATTGCAGGTTTACTATGCATTTGTGTATTCCGCAATTTCCTACAATATTATAGTATCGGGTCAGGCATCAGACATAACAAGAATTTTTGTTGCTCAGAAAAGAATTATAAGGCTTATCTTTAACATTAGTAGTCGCCAATCATGCAGCCAGGTTTTCAAAACTAAACGGATCCTCACGGTTACATCAATTTATTTAATGAAACTATTATCATATATTTTCAATAACAAACATTCATTTCCCATCAATAGTGATTCACATTCTTACAACACCAGAAATAAAAATGATATCAAATTGAACAAGCCCAAACACTCCTATTACAAAAAATCTCCCATCAATGCAGGCTGCCGTTTTTTTAACTGTCTTCCAAAAGAAATAAAATACGCGGGATCCCTGGCGGTTTTTAAGTATAGACTTAGGGAACTCCTTATCAGAGAATGTTTCTATACTGTTGAGGAATTTGAATTATATTTTTCAATTTTGAGATGATATCGAAGTGTATTTTACATAGTCTATGTTAGTCATCATTGTGCTTGTTTCGTCCTGTTTGTCAATTAAAACTTAATGACACTGTTTTTGACTTATCCTATCTATTGTTAACAATAGTTGAAAGGATTAATAAATATTTCATTTTATTTTATTTATTTATTAATACTTCGGTATTAATAAATAAAGATCTGTAGGTATATTTAATCATTTGATCATTTTTGAACTATTATTAGCCTCTTCTTAAGGTTAGTTTTTGATGGGTTTGGAAAGTACTGTACCACAAAATATAATGTATGATGGTGATTCTTCTCTGAATACATATCAATCAAGGTGATAGAAGATGTAGTATGGTCTTTCTAGCCAAGATTTTACTTCGACCGCCTAAGTGACTAGTTGAAACCAAAACTCAAAAGAGAGAAGCAACCCTGATCTCATAGCAGACAATACTGTTTCGATCTGCCACTAAAGAAAAGGTATCTTCATACTTAAGCTTGTCCTGATCGGCATATAGCAGGTAAAACAACTCTTTCTGTTGGTGATTGCTTGGTTTCTAGACTCCGCTGCCAACTGCGGTCTTTCTGTCTGGGAAATGCTTACTAGAATACTGTAATTAATTGCCGTCCTCAGACTTGAGACTGATATTTTCTCAAGAGGCAGCCTGATCTCAGAGAAGAAAGGCAGAAGAGTCCTGGTGTTCGATACACCTCATTTACGAGGCCTCATTTAGAAATATGCTTTAGAATTTGGAGAAGTTTAGAGAAAGCATATACAATTTTCAGATGAAAACACAAATTATCAGTTCGGATGACCTCATTTCCACATCTGGAACTTCATTCATTTTTTTCAAACCACACGTGACAGAAGAGACACCTACTTAACTCTCAACATAGCAATACAATCTGAATAAAGGACTTCTAAATTGTTTTTATGTGAAAAAATAAATTTATACAAACCACGAAAGGCTGAATTATTATAACCTGTGTATAGAAACCTACTCTAATGTTATCGTCCATCAGTGAATCATACAACAATTTGATCAGATAGTTACAATACCAAGTCATTTGAACACCTTTCGTGAAAGTATCTATAAAAGAGAGACAAATCTCCAACTTTTCTTCAATATTCCAGACTCTCAAGGTTGCAATATATATTCGTGTTTGCGATCAGGCATATGACTCTTTTCTGGTTTGAATTCAGCAGCTTAAGGGTATGATTAGAGACGGAGCTGATCCTGAGGTGTGTACAACTTTCTGGGTTGGTACAGTGTTCCAAGCTTTGGATTGTGCCAATCTTCCTGGAGAAAACCGATGTTCTGGAATCCAATGGAATGACGAGATGAGAAAACGAAGACGTTTCCACTGATTTTTGTGATTTGTGACAGAACAGCATAAAAAGCTCACATCAATGTGGACAGTGAAACAGTAGAGGACTGTAAGGGATGGAAGAGGTAGTGATACAAACAATTATCCAAAAACATATTTCCGTAGACTCTGAACATTTTCGTGACCAATCCTAGTCTAGAGCTACCAAATATTGTGGACAATGATTCGTTATTAGATAAAAATATAGTTTCCCCATTAGATGATACAGATTATGACCTGGATATTATTGAAATTTGTTTGTAGTTTGGCCTTAGGATTCTGCTGTGACAGACTGCAGCTCCTTCAAATTGAGTCTCAGTACAATATATATCAACACGTTCATAGAGCCTTCTGTAGATGGATACATGTCAGTGGATTAAAATGAGTTTGCAATTCGATTCACCAAGTGATATAAAAATGCAGAAGAGGTTAATTTCCTTTGTAACAGACTTCTCGTGGGGTAGACATATTGTACACTTGAGTTTATCCACTCGATTGTTCCTGTTTTAATTTTTCATTCATTCACACACTGAATGAGTTGATGATGATGGTTGATATTGAGATAAGTGCCTTTGGAGGGTCATCATTGGCTTTTTTTCAGTTCATTCATTTATGAACTGTATGTAATGCTTTGTGACTGATTATATTCTGCTGTTTTTTATCCTCTTTGAGTTTTTTACCATCGGAAATCCCAGTTTATAGTAAATTTAATAGAATTATCACTTTTGATAATTACGCCTATAAACAAACTGATTGTTTTATAGTTACGTGTCTGAACGTTTCTTAGGCTAAAAATCCGCCTCCATTTTCAGAATATTTTCAGTTATCAGAGAGAGAAGCATACTTATCCTATACGACCAGTTACTGATTGGAAGCACATTTTTTTTTAATATATGTATACAAAAACTGAACAAAAACAACTAAACAGTTTGAAAAAAATATACAAAAAAACTATTGCATGTGCTTAAAGGGAATGTAACGATAATCGTATGAAAAAATCGAAAAATCAAAATAAATGCATGTAGAATATCATAAAGGAAAACAAAAACAGAGAACAACAAAGTAAAGACCCACCAGTCTCACCAAACACCTTCAATGCCTACTTTGTAAATAATGCAAAAAACCTAATCCAAAAAATAGATAGTTCAAACTTGGACCCTCTCAAAAAACTAAACAATTTGAATTTTGAAAATTTTACTCTAACAGAATTAACCTACAACGAAGTTAGAAATGTAATAAAATCATTAAAAAATAAACCCAGCAGAGATATATATGGACTGAATGTTGAAGTGATCAAATGCATATCAAATTTAATTCTAATCCCTCTAACTAAACTGCTGAACCAGTGTACAAAAGAGTGCATTTTCCCCTCCGTCTTGAAAGAAGCATTAGTAATACCTATCTTCAAAAGTGGAAATCCAAATGATCCTACAAACTACAGACCAATATCTCTGCTACCAATAATATCAAAAATATTTGAAAAATGTATAGCTCTACAAATTGTACATCATTTTGAGAATTATGACATATTCACAGACTGCCATTATGGATTCCGAAAAGGTAGAAACACTGAAATGGCGATACTAGATCTTAACAACAAAATAACAACAACTTTTGAAAAACTAGAGTATTCAGAAATAAGTTTTTGTGATCTAAGCAAAGCATTTGATTGTGTATCACATGAAATCCTCTTGAATAGATCAAAACTATATAATTTTTCTGACAACACTATAAAGTTGATCAACTCATACTTAAAAAATCGATTTCAAACTGTGAAAGTGGGCAACTCTCTATCAACAAGAAAAAAAATTATAACCGGTGTACCGCAAGGATCTATTTTGATACCTCTACTATTTATAATTTTCATTAATGACCTACCATATTGGGAGAACCCGTTATCATATATTTTATATGCAGACGATACTACAATCCAAAAAAATGCTAAAACTCTAGTTGAGGTACTTATATTATCCTCTGAAGCACAGTCACGAACTGAAAGGTGGTTCAATGCAAACGAATTATATCTGAATAAAAACAAAACCCAAAACATGGTATTCACCCTAAGAAATACGGAAAATTACTCAATCGAAGAATTCCTGCAATGTGATATGAGTTCCTTAACCATACAGGCATTTGTCGTTGTTTGAAAATACCCAATTTTAAATTTTACTGCTTTGTTTTTGAATGTGCTCGTCGTCATAACTCAGATGTACTTATAAGATATAAATATATTTTTTATAAAAAAAGAAAAAAACTTGTTCTATGAATTGTAAGCATGTGTTGTTTATGTAAATATTAATAGATGCCTGACATATACTAATTTTAATTATATGTACATATTGACTCGTGTAAATACTGATGAATGTATAGAACACCTATAAATTATCTATCTATCTATTTATCTCATCATGGTGAACTTGAAGTTTTTCCTCTCTACACCTGTATAATGTTCCCCACTGCAATTTTCATCGATTGTTTCATATCAAAAACGGAAAAAATGTCCAAAATCAGGAGCAGGTGTCCCCCTTGAATTGTACAATTTTTTCACGTATTTTCATCGATAATTTATATTTTTGCCTCTTATTTACATGAATAGAACCCCTTCTCCCAGTCATTCATGATTTGAACAAAGACAATTCTACTACATCAACATACTCACTGTTCTGCTGTGCGTCCGCTAGATGGGGATTACTACGCGACATACACAGAGTGAACATGACGACGGACACCGCGCCAGAAGCACTACTGTCTGTGTGTTGTGGCAGCCGAGAAAGTCTTCGACGCTACCGACGCCACCTCTCGACCCACATGCGTCGACTTTTAGACCAGGCGTCGAGGACGCCAAAGCGTCACATATTGGGGAGTTCTACTGGGTCTTTCCCACGATAAGCTTTTGAGAGAACCGAAATACTAACTGAAGATGGATTGAGCTGGAAAAGTAATTGAAATATATTTTTGGAAAAACAATAAACTCAAAAATCATCATTGTATCGAAAGAAGTTGATGAGGAATAGTTTGAAGTGCAAATGCAACTGAAAACTACAGCGACATGAGGTGACTGGTCACCTGAGAAACCCACCCTCTGATCTTGGGGAAACTAATCTTGAGGAAATTGATCTTGGGGCGAAGTAATGGAACACCATCTGATATTCCTTGAGGTTGCGGGGAAACAATCATTCCAGTAACACTTCAACACATTCAACTCTTCTTAGTCATGTAGAAGCCAAGTTTGGAGTTCGAATAATCAACCTACGGGGCGTTATTATGTACGATGAGGAAAAAACCTGAAACAGGTCGATTTTTATTCTCAAATTGACACTATGAAAATATTATCCCCCTCCAGCACCCTTTCTGAATTATAAGCAATCCCTCGAAAATTTTGAATAGCAAAGGGGGTCGTGTGGCACCTTGTTGGAAAGGGATTTTAGTCCTCTGATCAGCAATATAAAGTTTTTTGAGTTTGATGCAATCATAACTGAGAAAGTCAATTTTTACAATTGAATTAAATGTTCAAAATGACCACCATTATTCACTTCATGACCTGATCTATTAAACAGACCATCCCTGTAACACGCTCCTCACTAACCTTGAATCCTGGAAAAAATCTTTGAAGATACTGAAATATTAGACAAGAAGCCAAATAAATAATTAATATGAATCTAGTAGGCTGCTGTCATTCAGGTATTTGAAGTTACTAAAAGACTTCAGTATAATATTTGTGGGCATATTAAATTCATTTATGGCTCATTTGTCCGAGACTCAAAGAATAGACATTTTAATTATGATTGGTTGTGGTAATAAAACAAGAACCTTACCGATCGCGAAAGAATAGCACCTAAAGGCTGACTTTCGACCAAAAGAGGTCAGATGTCAATCTTGCTGAAGTGCCCATCAGTAAGTTGAGGACCGCTCGGAGAGCGGGGGTGGATGGAGTGGGGTAGTAGGTTCTCCTCGCTAAATAGCTGGGGGGGAAGCTTCTACTTCAGGGCACTCAACGCGGGAGGAGGCATGGGGGGGCTCAAAAGGAGGTTTGTGAAATTTTTAATAAAAAATACCCTGGTCAACACGTGTTGCAGTCTACAGTTAGCAAAATTGAAAGTTTCGTGAAACTGGACATGTAAAAAAAATTTGAAAACCAGGTAGAAATATTCAATTTACTGATGAAAAAAAGTTAGATGTACTTCTAGTGATTGAGGAAAATCCGTATAAGACAACTCGAGAACTTGCCGCCGGCAATGATGTAAGTAAATCATCTATTTTGAGAGTTTTGCATAAAGAAAAATACCACCTTTACAAAGTTCAGTTGGTTCAGGAGTTAAATGAAGATGATCCTGACAGAAGGCAAGAATTCTGTGAATTGATGATGGACAGAATGAACGCAGATTTGCAGTTCATAAACAAAATAGAGTTTTCTGACACTGGATGTGTGCGACTCACACTCAATATCCTAAAAAAGTTAACGTTTGGGCTGGTATCCTTAACAATAAAATCATTGGAACTTTTTTTTTTTTGAGGACACTGTTAATGGTGAGGTTTATCTAGATTTTTTGATTAGCTTTTTAGTGCCTACATTCCAAATACATTTTCCTGATGTTAATCATCCAAATGAGATAGATCGAACTATTTACTAGCAACAAGACGGAGCTCGACCACATTTTGCACGTACAGTTAGAAATTATTTAAACGAGGTTTTTCCCAATAGGTGGATTGGAAGACGTGGAACGATCGAATGGCCGGCTAGATCCTCCGATTTGACTCCTCTCGATTACTTCTTATGGAGTTATTCAAAATCTAAAGTATATTTTAATAGACCAAACAATATTGCTGATTTAAAAGTTAGGATAACGGAAGAAATTAACAAAATGACCCCCAAAGTCATACAAAATGTTGTACGAGAAATCCAAAATCGCCTCGGTTATTGTCAAGAAGTTAATGGTGGTCATTTTGCATTTAATTTAATTTTAAGTACTTCGAAAAATGCATTCTAAATATTATGTGGCATTATTATCTTCATTCAACAAATATTCCAATTTCTCCTTCGACATATACTTCATAATATACGAAATTACTATTATTTGGTTTAGCTTCTAATTGAAAGATGTATTATATAATCCCAGGCAACGTTTTCCCTGGAAAAAGGACATCGGTTAGAACATGATGTCCCAACTCGACGTGTGGTAGAGAAAGGAGATGATTCCTGTACTTTCTATGCTAGGGAGTAATGCATAAGAAACATTGACTGTTCCAGAAAGTACCAATTGTTTTTGGAATCCAAGACTAAAGTTCAAAAACATTTTGTTCAACAGATTGGACTGTAGGTTCATATTGAACAGATCTTCTATCAGTTAAAACAGTCAGTTGAGAGAAAAGAACTTCTCTAAGTCCGTCGGTAGACGTTTGGTAAGCCTGAGTGGTTTGTTCTACTCAATCAAGCATAATATGAAGTTTGGTTCGAGTCCAGCTCAAAAATTATCACTTTCACTTAGTACTGTGTTAGGAGTTATATATAGAAAGGTAAGACTCGGCTAACACAATTTTTTCTTCTGAGGGCTAAGTTCTCATGACATATTAGCTACCAAGACTTGAGTATTTGTATAGATTATCGACACCAGAGAAACGGCTTGCTTGTCATAACGGAGAAGAATGGAAAATCCAATTTTCTTCCCAAACATCTTCGACACCTCCTCCAAGACTAGAAATCTCACCAACTGTTGATTTTGTTCAGCTTCGTACAGCTAGGTACAAAGGCGAACCAGATCATGTCACATAATGCAAAAGAGATTTTGTCAAAACCAAGTAGTTACCAGAAATAATGGAAAATGTGACTGACTTTGAACATGCTTTTTTGAGGATATTCACTACACCCACATCAATTTTGTCTACAGTGGAGGTGGGAAGGTATTTTTCACGATGAAAAACCCACTCGGGAAAGGTTGAAAATGAAGTCAGACTTTCCCTATGAGCATCTTGAAGGATTTGTGGCGAATCTTGAGGTCAGGCACCAAACAATTTTTTTGAATATATGCAATGATTGTCAGACCAATGAACTTATATAGAACATAAACCTGAAGGCTTTAGTTGGAGGCTAGATGTGCAACTTACGATGAACAGTCGATATAACTACCTTCACACACATCAACTAAATCGCCGGAACTTATTGTCCGATCTATAGCCCATTCAGTAGCGCCCGTTAATGAAATTCGCGTGGCCGGGAAAATTCCGAGAAGAGGAAAATTCCTCTGACCGCGGGAATCGGTAGCGTGTCTTGAATTCGCGGTAAAGGAGAAAACGTGAAATATAAGTTGACTGATATAGGAGGAAAAGATAATGAAAGATTCCTGGAGAGCTCCTCTATTTCGTACGATTAACAGGATTGCTAAAGGGTATTCCAAGAAACAGTTATTCTAGGATAGTGAAGCGACCGATAAACTCGGTTTTTATCTGTATTGTAATGATGCGAGTGGAAATTAATGGATACATAGGAAATCATATAACGAGAAACGAAACAACTGATATTAACAACAGCGTCACAGCTATTTCTCGAGTTTATGGTCCGTAATTGGCAGGTTTCAATATTTGACGTATCATCTACAACAGCGGTGAATATCGCCAAAGGTGATCAGTCATGGAAAACGAGAGAGTTGAATGAAGCGTCCAATGAAAAGGCATCTGTGCAATACCATTCAGAGAAGAGAATAAGCAAATTTAGGATTGCCTGTCAATAAAAAAGGTTTCCTGCCTCATAGTGAAGATATCGAGGACTGGATTAGAAAAATTCTGGAGAAATATAATGTGAAACCGATATTGAGGTCAACGGAATTCTTAAGAGAATATATAAAGGCTTAGGACCCCAGAGAGCCTCCAATAACAACATCCTCCAACTCCCTCATAGGTGTTGATCGGTCTTCATTGGGATCACGAAATCTCACCAGGAACTGTTCTACAAAATTGCAAATTACGTAATAATCCTACAAAACGATATTGATCAATTGATCAACCTAATCATTCAACAACACATTTCATTCCATATGTGCGTCAAACTCTTCGATTGTTTTCCATCGGAATTAAAAATTAAAGAAAGAATTTGGTATTCAAGTTTATTCTGAAGAAATACCTCATAAAATCAGGATAAGTTCCATTCTACGTGGACCACCCAAATCATTTCCTCCAGATCCTACTTTTTCCACGCTAAAAAAATACTTTCTCTTGACATACGTTTTGCTAACCAAGTCAGCATCATCAGGAGTCATATGTATCTTGTGTGGTGTATCAACTTCAATCCCGTTAGAAATTTGTGCTGTATATGCTGATTGAAGAAGTGATTTTCATCATTTGTGAAAATGGAAAATACAAACTATTTGTGAGAACAGAATCATTTTGATTTTTTATTCCACTTTCAATGTTATATGAAACCTCCACAAAGCTATCCTCAGCAGGGTAACGTTTTAGAAAGTAATCCCTCCTCAATTTCCCCACCAAAATCTTCTCACCTAATTCTTCATGTTCCATGATGCATTTCATCTTCGGCCTGTGCTCAATCGTTTAATCACTTCTGCCAATGTAACAAACTCCAAAATAACTCTAATCAACAACTAATTTTCTATTATCACCTATCTTTTCCAACAACAGCCAAAAACTTTTTCAATTTCCTCCCCACTATCAGTTTTCGCTACGCAAACAAAAAAACGTCTAATGGTTCCAACCCCGAGGAAGCCGACAACAAATTGAATTCCATAA